GGCCATGTGATGTTAATTAGGACAAAATTGTTTTGACTTTGCATTTTAAAGATGTAGGAAATTTCCTAATTTGTCATTAAGTGTATAATTGGATTTTAAAATCCACTTTAATGTTTCATATAATGATGAACACACATTCATCAATTTGGGCAAGAAAAAAAAAGGTTTCGGCCATCACATTTCTTAGAGAGAGAAAGTTTATTTTGTGTTCCATTAATATCATTTTGTGTATAGAAAATATCTATAATATTTTCTAAATATTATTAGAAATATTTTCTATAGAAATATACAAGATTATTATTATCCCAATTTTAATCTTTATATTTTATACTACTATAATCTTTACTAGCATAAAGATTGTGGTAGACTCCGGCGTTGTTCGTGTGTCAAAGTTGAAGACCGGACGCTTGAACGGTTACGTTTGCACTTTCAACGCTCTTCCTACGACTTCTTCATTTTTACCGCTTACGAAGAAAGGTATAAATTTCTTACCTACTATAAGTTTTAGTACGTTATTCTGGGCAAGATAATCATGTTAGGATGTTAAAATTTATATATTCCGCTGCCTATCCTTGCATGGTTACCTTTCAGTGGTATCGGAGCCAACATACAAAACTATAGTTTTACGTTTGACTTTTAAAATTTTAAAAGTCAAAGTTTTAACTTGGTAATTATTAAAATTCAAAAATTGGTACAATGATTTTATTTAGTCTTGGAATAAGTATTGGACTTAAATAAATCATTGAAAATGAATTTTAAATTTATTTATTTTATTTCTACCCGTAATACATATATAAATACATATATTTTGATTTTTTCGAAATATATATTTATATATATTGTAGAAATAGTAAATATAAATTTATTTGGACATAAAACATCATTTTATGATTGATAAAATTATATTGTAATTTTTGAATGTATTATTTCCTATTTTGAATTTATTGTATTTATTTAGGTGAAAACCGAAAATAAACATGGGAAAATTCAAAAAGAACTTTATTAAACTTAGAAATATTATGTCTAAGTTGAATAAGGTTGTTGACAAATATATTGTAAAAAATAATATTAGTTAGTAATTAAATAAATATATATTTATATATGTACTCGGTATTATTACCGAAATATTATTTATATTTATATATTTGTATTTTAATTACATAAATGACTAATATATATTTTGGAAAGTTATATCTCAGTAAGAAAAAGAATGTTTTTAAAATATTAAATTTTTATAATTTAATATTTTCGAAAATAATTGAAATGGCATTTTATAACTTATTGAGATTTAACTAATATATTTTGGAAATAATGATTTATAAATTTTGGAAATTTTATTTCCAGGTTTATAAATGTTAAAAATAAATACTGGAAGTTGAAATTTAATTTTCATGATTTTTGCAAAATTTTTTTGAAATTTTATTGCCTTATTGAAAATAATTTTGCAAAAAGGGCATTTTGGTCAATTGGAATATTCTGGATTTTTTATGCTGGAAGAATATCCAGAATGCATAAAATGATTATTATAAAATTTTATTAGAGTTATTTGGACATCTAATTTAATTTTATGAGTTTTAGAAAATATTTACTGCCGTAGTATTTTTCTAGAACTATGTGGGTAAGCGCGGTTCATCCGGTATGATATGCATGGTGGATGATTGTGGCTATAGTTTATTTGATTATAATACGGCCTGCGTGTCGTGCCTTATCTCTTAAACTCTTGTTGTAAATCTATTTCTCTCTCTTACCTCAACCGAGGATTCTTTTCTCACGTGGTGGTTTGAAGACAAAAAGATTTGAAGACCGTTTGAAGAAATCTAAAAGAATGGAGATAGCCCGAAGTCCAAGTGCCCGAATGCCCGTGGGAGCTTGATTTGCAGTATAGAACGGGCAAAAATAACAACTAAAAAGAATCCCTTGTAAGTAGGGTGTCGAACCTCAGAGAGACGCGAGTTAATTTAATTTAAACAAAAGTTTACAAAAGAAGTTGTAAAATATTTTGGTCTTTTTGGTTTTAGAGATAAAATAAAAAGTGTAAAAGAAGAGAGTTCCAAACAACACAAAGTTT